AAAAAGGAGCCGAACATGTATCAACCAATTAGCATAGTAAATTTGAGTGTGCAACTTCAAAGTAACGGAAAAGCTTTATGCAGGAATAGACACCCCGAAAAAGGTTTATACTGGAATGCATAATGTCCGAGGATCTAATCAAGAAGAGTGTGGATTGTAAAGGCATGACCTTCATGCACACGTATCAAAGGAAATATTATTTGGTAAATTTGAATATCTGACCAGAATGAATAATACATTGCTCTCTGATTTCAAAATGCAATAAAGTACTGATGCGGGATTTAAGGATGAAAAGGAGAGAAGAGGATAATAGGCTTTAGACTATTAGCATCGATCGATACCTGGATCTACCTTTTACACATAACTTATTCCCGCAGGCAGTTCAATTCGTGTGAGTAGTCCTTGCTTTTTTTTTGTAGCCGAAAGTTAATCGTGTTCTCGGGAAAACCGCACATCCCGCATGTGCGGAGGGGATACCTGTGGACGGCCGCATCGGGGACCAGGGGAAAAGCTTAGCTCAGGATGGATGCTGTGACGTGATGGATAAAGATCCATAACATTGCGGTCGGACGTAATAAGTTTATGCGAGAGGTCTCTTCTGGCTATCGATTGCAAAAGGACCCTTCGCTCCGCTATAAATCGGGAAACACACACGCAATCCACTGAACCGAAATTATTCAGTTCAAAAATAAAAAGAAATTCTACTCTCATTGAAATCCCAAGCAATTGTTATTTTAAGACTTAAAAACTCTTCAAGCAAAATAATTAATTCGATTTGTGTTTTCAATTTATGTTATTATTAAAATATAAATATATAAAATAAATAATTTAAGAAACGAAAGTTTCCTATGAAAAATATTTCAATTAGCTGACTAGTTAGAATTATTTAAACTATATTTAATGCATAAAATCAATTATTCTATGAATATAATGTAAAAAAACACGTATAAAACGTGTAAAAAATTACTTATACGCAGCTATATTAGTATTTTAATACAAAAAAAATATACAGAAAGACTTGAAAATTTAATAAAATATTTGTTATTATATCTAATATAACTAAGTTTATTTATTCTAGATTTTTCATTAATATACATAATAACTTTATATCTATATCAAAGATCATATTAATAATAATTTCATAACACAATATTCTATAAGAATCAATATAAATTAATAGTAGAAGGTATATTTAGTTTGATATAGATATTGAACTAAAAAGAATGGCTGAAGTTTTTCTTTGACTTTATTATACCCGTATTTTTTCCTTCTTTGTAGATCCACTGTATTTAATTATTCTTTTGCAAAGTTAATCAGGGATATAGTCTAGAAAACCTTTAATCTTCTTTCCAGAAACACCAAAAATACCAACGACTTTAAACCAAGCTCACACATAAATCCACACGGCACAAACAAACAGAAACATACACACACGTCGTTCAGCTCAAAGCTGTTTCAGCACTTCAATTGTTGTTCCTGTCCAGCCCGAAATGATGTCCCGTGAGTAATGAAAGCTGTATCGTCTGCGTGGAGCAGATTGTAGGAATTAGAGCTTTGTTAGGGATTGCGGGGCTGGGGATTTTGCGGTAGAAAATGTATAATTTTGGACGGAAATAGGAGGATTGTGCAAACAGTTTACGGCAAAATTGCGAGCTCCTCCCGAAAACGAATAATATTCCCATTAATTCCTCTCGCGCGGTGAAATGATAACAATAAAGTTAAAAAAAAAACAAGAAAATATCATAATAAAACGAAAACAAGCAGCAAAAGCGGAATGGGACGAAAATTACATCAACTTTCGCGCCTGTTACATAAATCTGCTGCGAGGCGAATTGCGTTTTAGAAGGGGGGAATAAAACGAGAAATGAACGAAGCCCAGACAATGAGAATAACGGCTTGTTGAATGGGACGAGAACTTATAATTGACATCCAAGTTTTGCGTTCGTCGAGACCCCTCAAACAAATATTTCTAATCAGATTCCTGCTGTTACCTGCTAAAATCCAAGTCTGAAATTTATACAATTCACAAATGTACATTGTTTATATTAGTACGGCGAAAATGAAGCATACAAGGATTAATCAGACAGTTACAAAAATAGAAAAAAAGACAGCTTTACAAGCAAATACCATAAAAATTAAATATAGTTTAACTCTTTCGCATTTAAACATTATTATTATTTTATAGTTGGATAACTATTATTGCCTTTGACTAGCTGGTACGTATCCATATCATTAGTCCTGGAAGTTTGAATACATGTGTACCATTAGTATGATTTAGATACATGACCATTTAGTGCTAGTGAAGACCCATATGAACCTTCTGATGAAGAACCTTATTCTGAAAGTGACAACGAAATTGAAGAAGTTGAAGTAACAAAAGAAGAAGTTGAAAAAGAAAATTAAGTTCCAAAAAACTATCACTACAAAAAACTACCACTAAACATAATTTTGAATTATAACAACATAAAATGAAAACTAAAACTATGTTCCCACGGCCTCTAATAAAAAATCGATGCTAACGGATTAATCTTCCTGAAGTAATATCATTTTTATTGCTTATCGATCAATGTCTGAAGATGTACGAAGACTTCAATTAACTATAGCTATTATTGTTAAAGCGTTCATGTTTTGAAGTTAATTATTTTGGTTTACTCTATTTTGTAGTTTTATATATGAATCAAGTACAGATGTTGTAGCAGAATAAAAAATATACAGACCAATGTTAGGATTTTACTGTATTTTCCAATATTGATTTACAGCTCTAAAATATCCATTAAATCAAAACATTTATTTTATTTTTTGTACACATATATTTTTTAAATTATTTAGTGCACGAATTTTGTATTCCCTATTTAATTCCATATGGTGATAAACTCCGCAAAATAAATTTTACAGCAGCATTAAATATTCAATCAATAGCACTTTTTTTTACGTCGAGCATAAAACAGAAATAAATACGCTCCAATTTACACTGGAAATGTGTCAAAAGTAATGAATGCATTTTGCAAAGCATTAATCTGCCGAGTCTGCACTTGATGTAATTTTGTAAATAATATAAAATAAATGGAATGGGAAGGTAATTCGTTTGTGTTAACATAAAAGTGGGGTGAGAGAAAGTGCACTACCGTGTTTGTAGCATGGGAGGATTTGGAATGGATGAACAGTTCCACATTTGTTTCGAATTGGTAGGATACATTGAAATAAATGGAGCTTCCTTTCAGGATTCAATCTAAGATTTTCGCCGACGGCCATAAAGATAGCATTTATTATGTTTAGACTTTCTAGGGATGTACACTCAAGTATTATATAAGTATGTTAAAGATTTTTTATTTGAGCTATATTTACTTTTATTTATTACTTCAAAAAATGCAATTAGTATTATATTTTTTTTCTATTGGTATATTTGAATAGTATTTTTATATTATCTACAGAAAATATTAAAGTATAGTGGAACCTCGCTTAACGAGCATAATTCGTATAGTGAAACAATTTTCCCCATATATGTTGCTCGTTAAGCTAGTAAAATGGTTAGATCTTAGTAATAGCTTATTGGTCAGACTTGAACGAATATTTTAATTATGTTATGTGATTAAAAGAAAAAGTCATAATGTTCTGTCAAAAATAGTAAAATTATTTCGTGTACCAAAAATTAAAACCAATGTAGATAATGTAAGAGAATTTGACATAAATAGTTGCAATCAATTCGATTTACTTGTTTGTTTTTTTTTTTATTATTGACTCATCTTTCAGAGATGGATGTTCTTCATCGAGGCGTATTCAAAATTGAGACAATGATTTCGTTTTATGGTTGGACGCTCTGAAATGTTGGCTTCTTATGTTGAAGATCATTTTTCTTTCTAAAGTTTTTCTAAAAGTGGAAATATTTATATATCTTTCTCTTTTGCACGACTATCCCAAACAACCAGCTTCTTTTTGTAAGCATCCATTCCATTGTGTAAAATCATTGTTCACTATACCTAACATACCTTATTTACGTAATTTGATTCATCAAGTTCAGTCGAAAAACATCATGATTTATTTATACTTCTACAGCTTGCTTTTCAATTCTTCTCCGAATAGTAGTAGCCAAAAGAGGTATAGCCTCTAGTTTTGAAACGAGGATCGGTTGGCAACCACTGGTTTAGACAGTTTAACGTTAAAACATACATGATTATTTAGGACTAATAGTATGTATTTTATTTCTCTTCGAGTGAGATTGACGTAAATAAATTGAAATGAGTAAGGAAAGTGTACGTTCATACGAACATCAGTGTGTCCATGTGATTATTAAGTACGTTCGTATGAACAAAGATACGTGTGTACCAAATAGTTGTAAGTCCAAGTGAATTATATACGTTAACCGAGCCCCAACTGTATACAAATCATTAACAGATCCATTACTCAAACACGTATGAGTATGATCTAGTTATCTAAAGGGATTAAGGGGAAAGGTGAGAATGTTTTAATGTAAACTTAGTTTGATAGCCATGCATATAAACACATTACGTAATGCGCAAATCGAGTTATGCGCCGTTCCCCGTGTTTTCCCGTAAACGATGTTGAAGTGGGTCCGACCATTATCAAGTGGAATAATAATTTATTCAGCGCTCGGTGCCCATTTGTTTCATGCACCAAACAAATGTAGCGACAATTAAATGGCCGCAATTGAATTAAAACGGCGGCCAGCGGCAATTTAATGTTTGATTTTCCGGTGGAAAATCCACGTCGACTGACATCCACCATTGTTTCCGCACTTGGCACACGTTCATTCGGCTCCGATCCACTGAGTTTTAATTTCGATGGGAATGTATGGAGCGAGTGGAGAAGGGTGATTGTCGTTTCATGATGAATGCTCTCTCACTCTCTCTCTCACACACATGCACTCACCCTCTCAAACTATTGAGCTTTCTGACTCGTCGAGGAGAGAGGAGCAAAGGTTGCCCTTGATTTAGAGGTAGGTAAACACCGCTGATGAGGCTCTTCTAGGGCCGGGCACTTACCTTTGTCCTGAGCTGTGAGCAGAGAAGATGACAAGGTTTGCTTCAGCTTGCCGAAGGTTGTGCCGGCGTCGTTCGCGTCCGTTGTTGCCGTCCCCGGTTCTGCCGCCACCATCTGAAACAGAATTTGAGAATTAGGCCAGAATTCGCTTCAACATTGCAACAGTGGAAAATTTAATTTTAAATATATGTCTATCCCCTCATCCCCTGTTTCAAAGAGCGTAAAACTTTTCAATTTCCATCTGGCGGCAAGGAAAACAAAGGGAAAATGATTCGAATGTTTGCCCTTGTTATACAGAACCAATTTTGAGCTACTCTACAAGTGGAGGAATGAGATTAAAGGAGCAAACGAAACATTAAATTCACCCCGTTTTAATAACGACAATAAGATGTGTACGTTTAATTTTTTTTTCTGCTTTCTTTTCACGTGTATATGCGAATTTGCGTCGTTTCATTCGGTTTGTTTTAATAGTTTGCAAACCTAATTTAACGTAGGCATGTTAACTTTAATCATATTCCACAAGCTCCGAGGGTTTATTAGGTTTTGTGCAAAAAGTTCGTACAGTGATTATCCGTGATTGCTATTTTAATTGAAAACAAACCTTATTACACCATACGCGAATATATTTTAGTAGCTCCGTTTATGAACTTAATATTATTTTATGCTTTAACCAATATTATTATTATTATATATTTGTCCTAATAAATTCATAACAAATACAAATCCTTTATACAAGTTATAAATAAAAACTTATATTGATAACAATTAAAAAAGTTAAGTAACATCCCTACGCCAGCATTTCCGAACGATTCGTTTACGGAACAAAAATTTAACAAAAACGCTTCGTAAAATAATATAATTATATAATAACTTGAGCGGATGAGCGGCGGATATATCCGCCCAACTTTTTGTTAAGAAAGCTATGCTTATCTAAAATTGTATGCCTGGTCAGTGGAGGCGCAGTCATTGAATCCTAGTTCTTAGCAAGGCGCCACTAGTCTTTCAGACAGAGTGTCATGTTCAATCTTTGAAGTAAGTTATTTAGAGGCGCTATTCCTCCCGTCACAAGTCTAATGACCTCTTCAAAAAAACCTATATCTTAATATAGAATAAAATTTTAGCCAATTGGATAGTGAACAAAATATATTCTTTAATTTAAACATGTTTTATGTACATTTTATGCGTTTTCAGCTTATTTATTTACAAATTATATGATTTTTATTACAGATTTTCTTCTAAACGAAATTTGAAAAAACTGTCATTTGACCGCGCATGTTAGGTTTAGTATCTAGTTAAAAAAATACACCACTACATAGCGGTTAAATAAGAATTGATTGTATGTAAAGTTTTTGATTTAGTAACCAAGTTTGTTTTCGGTTAAACTTAGAAATTCAGCAAGTTCAAATGTGATTAGAAAAAAAAAACAGATAGCTTAGTAATTACGTTATCCATAAAATTCTATAAAAACATAAGTTGGATATTGTCGGTAACCGGAAAAAGCGAACGGTTGTGCAAAATCTTTTAGTTTATGGCGTTATATTTTATCGGTGGGCAACGGTGGAATGCAATCAGGAAGCGAAAGGCCTTCAGACACTTAAGTCCCGTGACATAAATATGTAAAAATATGAGGGCGAAACCGCAAGAGGAATACCAAGTACTCTCCGCTTCGATGGACCGCAAACCGAGGAACGTCCGATCCATACAAATATAAATTGAGATTGCACTTCCTCTTTCCCTTCCAGAAACACAGCTTCAATCATATAGATAAATGGATACAAATGGTGGTCGAGGTTTTACGCCGTACTAAGCGGAAACGCGTTTATGGTAAATTAATTGCGGTTCGGAAAATACGTTTTGCGTGCAACGGGATTAAGTATGGCTCTAAGACGGAAAGCCGGCGGGACATTAAAATTTCATTAAAAGCGCCGTACTCCATCCCCCCACCGTCCTTCCATCCTTCCCATTTTCCAAACCCCTCTGATACTCTTGACTATAGGTGTTCGTGCTCAAGATTTCTCTTTTGCCATGCACATTTTTACATTCCCATTTGCATACCAGATATTTATTAACTCCAAAGTACGTTCCTTCTCGATGCTCCACTTCTTGTTCTCTTTTTCGATAGGCAAAAACCATTCTCGTAAAATAAATTACTTTCGTTTTTCTTTTTACCTCTCGCCCACCGACGCCCATTTTCGGCCATGAAATATTCAAACGTACTTCCAAACTATGAATCTTATATCAGCTCACCTTCCACGTTCAATATTCCTAACACTATAAATCTTCATAACGTCCTGCTTATTATCAAACATTAATCACAACATATTATCCAGAACCAATTAATTATACACAAGCATTTACATTTTTATATAATCATTAATAATATTGCTAACTATAGAAAATTACAATTTATTGAATTTACGTTGAAAATGAACGTAAACTCTGTTAATTTTAAACGTTTTTAAAATAACATTTTAGGAAATCAGTACGTTCTAACACTAAACTTACTGATACTTCATATATACCTATCCCTAAAACAGATTCAAATTTATTTTTATATAATTTAAATCGCATAATGGAAAAGAGGATTAAAAACGAGCAGTTCTTATTATATTATAGATTATACACCTTTTATGCTCGTACATTATTTCTAAATATATAAATAATATATATCTAATTCGTCTTCACTGAATTTATACAAATTATTTTGATCTCAAATGTACATTTAAGGGCGACTAATAGCCGAATGGTTAGGGTGACTTAACCATTCGGCTATTAGTCGAATCGAACCGGAGACGGTTCGAATCCTGGTCAAACCAGGCCCTTTGTGAGCTCTCTCGGTGCTTGCAGCAATAGGGCCATCGTTCATCGCAGATGGGCAGTCAAATGAATGAGGTGAAGGATAACCGCAGATTCACAGTGAAAGGAAATAGTGGAATCGCAGAGCATCAATATACTACTGAAGTTAAACTACAAGACGACAGCCAACCAACAAATTAAAAAAAAAAAAAAAATCATCATAATGGTAACTATTCACCGGGAATGATTATCCAATTAATGTCAACCGCAATCTTAAATTTACTCAATATTCATATTGATGAACAGATTGTGAATAAAATTATACGACATAAAAAAATGTACATTTGCCGCACGCATATTTTTTTGAATCTAGAACATAGTTTCGTTGCTTTATAACCATTACAATATTTTAATTGACAAGTTATTTATTCCAGAATATGTCCAGAATATCGAAGAACACCTACAATATTTCGATTTGATATTGTATTCTTGCTATTTGGTAAGTCATATCTACACCAAAATATATACTATTAGTTTTATAGCGATGTCACAACGTTTAAATATGTGAAGTTGTAGAAAAGTTTGAAAAATAAAGTTTTGAAATGTTGTAGTGTTAATATTTTAGTAACTTTTTTTTAATGATATAAAAGACTTTGCATTGAAATTGTAAGATGAAAATGTACATTTAAATTATTTTTTATTAATTACCAGTTTTATTATTTGAATAAATACAAGCGGTTGGAAAAATCCCTCAATACAATTACTGATAAAAGTAAATAATTTATCTAACTTTTCTCATCTTCTTTCATTAAATGTTTATTAAAACCATTAATTCTCTATTTTTTTCTAATTTGCAATAGTCAGCAAACTATTCCAATTACTCGAACGCAGTGGAAAGTTTTAATTACGCGAAACTGCTAACCCGCATTACGTAATAACTGTTAGCTATTTTTTTTATATTGTGTTTATATGTTTCGCAGTGCGCCATCCGCAAGCAAATGCACAACAATTTATAAAAAGGATTACACATTTGTATTCCCATTTGGGAATGTACGGCAATAAAGGTAGGAACAGATGGGTACATAATTTATTCAAACGAAAAAAAAAATAATGGCATCATAAAAATACTGGTGGAAGTTTCATCCGTGCAATGGAACATTTACGAATTGATTAATGCATCAACAAGTTGCATATTTTACTGAAACGCATGGTTTGCTTCCAATAATTCTTCATTACTGTATACATGTTTACCAATTAATGCTAATAAATTATTCCAATAGAATTTATTACCCTCAATATTTATTGAAATTTATTTCAGCTTTTCTGTACGGTAATATAGTTGCATGATTTTTTTCAATTAAAAATGATTATTTTATTTACATACTTATAATTATGGTAAATACTCAATGTCTCACCAAGCATCTACAACTTTCTTGTCTTAATAAAGTTACTTCTAAAAAAAACCTATATTATTTAAGTCAGATACATCTTTCTCATATGTAAATAATTAAAAGTAATAAATATAAATAAGAAATTCTTATTTTTAAGCTAAACACAATGTTATTAAATATGATATGAGTATGATAACAGATTTTTTTTTATGTTGTATATTTTATTCACATTTGATGCTCTGCGATTCCACTATTCCCTTTGGCTGTATACATGCTGCTATCTTTAACACTGTCATTGTCCATCGGTCATTCATTTCAATGTCCATCTGTGATGAACGATGTCCTTATTGCTGCAAGCACAGAGAGGGCTCATAAAGGGCCTGGCTTGACCAGGATTCGAACCAGCACCGTTTCGATCGTGGAAACATCTTTTAATAAATCTATGTTTATGCCAATATAATAACCAACTACAACAAATATAATCTAGAAATATTTATTTTACTTTAATTATTATATTATTTATCTTAGTTAAACTCTTGACAATAGTAATAAAATTAATTATTTATTAAAAAAAAATATAATTAAAAATATATCAAAATGTGGATGCGCCGGGTAAAATTATCACAGGCGCGTCCACCTTTTCTATTTTTATAGTCCATTATACACTGTGATTAATTTGAATAAACCTCCAAAAACTGTATTTTATTGATAAATCTTGTTAGAGTATAGGTTATCAAACTGTGATTTATTAAAAATTCTAATTAATCAATTTGTGTAAATTTAAATTTCAATAATTCCCACTAAAAACTGTATTTTATGGTTTTTAGTGACAAATGTTGTTAGACTATAGGTTTTAAAAGTATTACTTATTAAAAATTCTAATTATTCAATGTATTTAAATTTGAATAAATACCGTCAATAACAGTA